TCAGTGGAACGGATTATCATCATCTAGCAAGGCACCACTATACAGACTTTGGTTATGATCTTAACTAAGCCATTAATAAACAGTAACAGAGTGGTAGCATTGAGATCTTAATATAGAAGAGCTGATTAACACCTGTGATGAAAAGCCAATGCGACACAAGAAAGTTAATTTGGAATATGTTCTAGTTAAAATAAAACATTTGCTTCATTCATATGAACCCCACCTTGTTTTTTGCCCTGGGATTCCTGCAGTTTGCCTTACGATCCTCTACATTTCTCCCTCTAAATCAGATCACACCAGTGGTGTACTCATGAATCTGTAAGGTTTTTCTCTGACAAAAAAGGGAGAGTCACCCAACAAGAATTTTGCCGGAATCCCCTGTGCATGACAAAATGTCACTATTCGTTTACTTAAAGGCATAAGCAACATACATGGCTGCTTCCTAGACCCTCTGCCAACACAATTCCTAGCAAAAAAGTCTGTGCTTCTGTGTGTGTCATGTAGCATGGATTTTTAAAACTGATTTTATTTAAGCAAAACCAGATTCAACAGTAGTTCGTATTGCCAGTGTGACTGAGTCCTGACTCCAGACTAAAGACAGACCCTTAGTCTGTGTCAATCAGTGAGGTATATGTGCATTGTTAGATACATGTAGAGGAAGGCGCACCGTAACATTCATCCTGCCATCACTGTGTTCCAGACATTCTTTGTTCGAATTCTGCAGAAACTACAGTCATCTTCTGACACACGGCCTACCACATTTATACTAAAATCAAGGCATGCATTATTACAATGGAATGTAGAACTCAACATTTTGACATATGACTTAGTTTGGGGTCATGGGATGCTACAACAAAGCATGCATCCTATGTTTGTGTGCTTTTTATGATGAAAGAAGAGAGTCGTTGCTAGAGGCAACAGAGTGGTCAGTCACCAGGAAAGATATCACTCATAATCCCGTTCAGCTTTTCTTTGTTGCAGATCCAACAAGACCGGGTTACCTCATTGCTCACTGACATACTCTAGAGTCAGAAAAATTCAAATCATTTGACCATTTGAAATGAAAAACCTTTTCTTTACATGCAGCAAGGAAAAGAGTTTTCTCATCCCCATTGCCTGTGGTTCCTGCAGCAGGCTTGATACAGGAAATCTTTAGTCAGGCAGTAGCACAGAAGACAGCCTGTCATCACAGTTACCACTGTCCCAGAAATATACTTGTACAAAATTAGCTTTAAGACACAACTTGGGTGGGGGTGTGTGAGGATACAAGAAAGGGCTGATGTCTAAATCAGCTGAGTGCTGCTTCTTTAGATGTCAAGAATTCTTCTTATCGTACACAGTGCTTTTTGTGCATATAGGCAAGAGTTTCGTAGGAAAAAAATGGTAGGTCCCTGCCCTGAAGAAGCAAGCAATCACAAGTTGCAATTAGTTTAGCTTTTCTTTAAACAGAGCTCTGCTAACAAACCCAACTGTCTCATTGCTGTTTCATTATTTACTGTTTAAAAAAATGTCCCCCTCCAAAAAAAAATTCTCTGCAGACCATATGAGCCCCCAAATGAGCACAGACTATTCTATTAACATGGAAAATAGGGAAGTAATCCTGAAAAGTAGGGAATGATCACCAATACATTATTGCTTATGTTACGCTAACTGGAATCTCACTTTCCACTTCCATGTTTTTCCTGATATGTAAAACAGAACATGGGTAGATGTTGCTGGACAACATCTCCCATCATGCTTGACTATTGGCCATGCTACCTGGAGCTGATGGAAAGACCACAGATTTGCCACTTCTGTATAGAAATCAAGATTTGCTGGCAAGTAATTTCTACATTCTGTGACATTCTTTCACCGAAGCGACCAGTATGAATTTGACCCAACTCCGGGAGGCAGTGGAAGACAGGAGGGCCTGGTGTGCTTTGGTCCATGGGGTCATGAAGAGTCAGACACAACTTAATAACTTAACAAGAACAACAAACTTCTACATAAATGTTGCTTTCCCTGGAAAGAGATTAGATTTTCAGAGAATTAGTTTTAGAAATAAAGATTCAGTTTTCCATTTATGTCATTTTGATACAATGAAATGGGCAAAATATGTCTTTTGGATACAGAGAACCTTTGACTGAAAGATAAGAAGCAGAAGCAGGACTAGGGGATTCTGGAAGTTGTAATTTTTTTCCAAGCTCTGATCAGCAGAACTTCTCTTCACTTCTCCTTGCTCATGAAACCTTGGTTGACAGGTGTCTAGAATTTAATACAGGTATAGAGAGGGAAAGTGTCTTGAAATTATTTACTCATGAACAACCCTTGCCTTGTATTTGTCAGTTACTATAGGAAATGGACTGAACAGAAGATAGCAAATAACAAATAGCAGTGATATTTCCATTTAGGTTGTTAAAAAGATATGCCCCTTCCCAAGAGTTCCTAGGCTGCCAGCTACACCAAAGGAGGGCCATCAGAAAAAGGTAGAGAGGATGTATGTGATCCTTTCCCCCTTGACTGGCCCCCAACAGTGCACCAGATTAAAAGGATACAAATGTCCTATATTGCCAGATGTGCCCCATACGCCTCTATATTGGCCATCTATAAAACAGCTGCTAGCTTACTTCAATCCTTGTGGCTCAAGGTTGAGGCCTTGGCTAAATGCATGTAAAGGTCTTCTAAAAGTGTAATAACAGTGAGGTCTGTAGAAACTGAAGAAAGGGATTCAAAGATGTCTATGAGAAGCGAATATGTTCTATGAGGCAAGGAAGATAACCCAGGAAATCTTATTACCCACCCGTCAGTAGCCAATGGGATGGCAAAGGGTGGGCAGAGACCAGTCATGGAATTGTGTGCCTCTTTTTCTATGGAGAAAGTGCAAGTGGATGTCAACGGGGTGGTGGTGGTATCCAGTGCTCTACATTTTTCTTGGGAGGGCTGAGGACCAATCTGGCTCCTGGAACCATTAAAGTGCCCTGCCCTGACCTAGAACTTTGTTCCTCACCAGGAATTTTTCATTAAGTGTTCCAGAAGCCTTCTTTGTTAAAAGAGGATAAGCAGATGATGAGGAGAGTACTGTATCCAATTTCTGTGTTTCTGGATCATCCTCCAGCTTTCACCCTAGGGACTAGAAGTTGCCATCTGCCTGGCTGGTTTTACGCTGGTGTTCTGCTGCAGAACCCTTGCCAAACACGACATCTTTTTGGTATGAAACTGCCACTCATCCTATAAAATTTATGAGCCCCTGGCTAGCTATCGCTTTGGAGAAAACAACAGCAACCACCACCATATGCATTTGTTGCTGTTTTGCAACATGTGACTGCAAGAGTGCTCTTTTCGGCAAGGCTGATGCATTTTTAATAATAATGTTAACATTAAAATTGCCTTCCTGGCTCAGAGCAGGTTCTAGCTCGTCTAGGGATGTGTACCTCTATCAAGTCCAACTTCACCCTTTTCATCTTTACAATTTCATGCTTTCTGTTTGGATTTTTTAAAATATAGACAATAATCTATTCTTTTTTGCACATGTTGTACACATTGTTTTCAAGCATTCCTCCATTAATTGATGTCTTCTCACTTGCATATTTGATGTGCATGTATTTTTCAATGTGCACTTTTAAAAATGGACACATTTTATAAGGGGCATTTGTCAAAGTCCTGAAACCTTGGATTTCCAAATTGAAGGTCTATCTGTTCTGCATATGTTTCTTAGTGGTGAAGATTTATCAAAAACAAGGTGAAATACAATCAGATCATGTGATTCCTCCCGTATTCTCAGTCTAGTCCTCTACATTCTTTCTTCTCTCCAACAGCAACTAGCCAAGAACCTTAGTGATGCATAAACATGAATGGCAGATTCCACCCCAGTGCTTGGTAGTCAGTCAGTCACATCCTACTGTTGTGCACAGTGGAGCCAATTGACTACTACAGTTATGAGTAGATGGAGGATACCTAGGACATGTCATATTTTTTCCTGCAACCTATGCTTGAGCTTATGGGTGGATTTGGACATATTTATGAGTAATTTGGTGAGAAAGGCCAGATTACTCATAAACATGTTTGAACTTGCTTATGAGTTCAAATGTGGGTTGCAGAGAAAATGTGAAATGTCATAGAAATCCTCCCCTTACTTAGGCGTTATGGACAGACTTGTCCTTTGCAGATCTGACTAGCACTTCAGCAGCACCTAGGGAAGAAGACAGATGGAACATGCTTGGAGATTAGTGGGAGTGATCTCAAAGCATCCCATTGTGTTCTGCCCACAGGCAAAAAAGATGATTCTGTCAGTCTCCAGTGCTGGAGGCTGGCTGAGCTCCACATTGCCTGCCACCTTCTGAATCATCCTGTCCCTGATTCCATTCAGTTGAGCACCCACTTTCTTTCATTAGAGATTTCCCTATTTAGTAATGCCTACTTATTTTGAAAGCCTTCCCTCTTGCCTTTGTTAAATCTGTAATTCCTTTCTTATGCTAACCCTAAAGGAAAGCAGGGCAGGTGACTTCAGCAGGCCTGAGACCCCATTTTTTGATAGCAGCACTAGTCCCTGAAATGTCCAGTCTCTCTCTCTCTCTCTCTCTCTCTCTCTCTCTCTCTCTGTCTGTCTGTCTGT